TAACACGTAATTCTTTTGAAATTTAAAACATTTTGCGAGATATTTTCCAGTGTTTACACTCACCTACCTAGTTCCTGTTATCTTTGTTTATTTGGCGATGTCTACGTTTTCTTAACATCATAGTACCTATCATGATGTTTCAGCCTTGTTTGTGTGTGGTAACACCAAGGCAATTAGACGAAGGTAGAATTAAAAATCCACCTACATTTTTCATACATAGAATGTCCGGGAGTAGACAGAAACTATGGAGTTTGTTTCTCGTTCTTTTGCAAACGGATCTTCATTTTGAAACGAGCCTGGCAGCGAAGCAACTAGCATCCAACCGACGATTGACGGACAATCCCATTTTGACGTTTAGAAAGTGCCTGCTTAAGAATTAATTGAAATCCAGCCTGGGTTGCGGGTAGAATTGTTACGATGACCTACGGCTATGGCCTATTAACTAAGGCTTTCCAATGCGCCACAGAAGTAGATACTAGATACTATCAACAATAATTTAGGTAAAACCACCGATACAGTAACCTATTTGATGTTTTTTTTATTAGGACAAACGCTCTGTGGGGTTACCGGAACCGTTAACATCTTCTGTGAGCCAAAATCTGTGGTAAATAACTGAACTCATTTCACATAAAAAATATAGAAGTCAGCGAAATCAATCAATAGATAGAATTGTAAAAGAAGAAAAGTTTCTGCTTCCAACTACTTACTTGATGTAGGTCATGTAGGTACTAAAATGAACCTCCTCCATTTTTAAATGTCGGTTAAAAACATTTATGTTAGATATGAAGTTACGACTAGTTTCCACCAGCGGCTTCGCCCGAGTGCTGTGCTGATAAAAATCAGCCCATAGCAATAGAACAATAACGAAGTATACATAAAAAATCCACATTTTCCTTCACTGCTCTGCTTCTATTATTTGTAGCGTGATGAAAAGTATCCTATAACCTGCCCAGAAGTATAAAGAATAATTGTACCAAGTTTTGTTAAAATCCGTCGAGTAGTTTTTGTTTCTATAAGGAACATACAGACAGACAGACAGACAATTTTATTGATTGCATTTTTGGCATCAGTATTGATCACTTATCACCCCCTGGTAGTTAGGTATTTTGAAAATATATTTAATGTACGCTTTGGTAACATGATATTTCTATGTCACATCAACCATGTTGGTAAAGCCTTATTAATCAGCCTTTTTTTATCAAAAAATGTTTACCAAACAAATGACGCGTTATTTACAATTCTTGACCTAAATATAACGTAGAGATTACTCTCAACATTGTGTCTACGTAGCCATCTAGAACGAGGATCCTTCGGAATATTTTAATTCATTATTATTATTTAGCACACTTCTTTACTCTGTCATAAAATTGTCTGTCCGTCTTTCTATAATTTGATCTATTTGAACAGTTTGAGAAAAGCTCAACTAATTTCAAGTCACAACGGGACCCTTATTCATGAGTAGCGTGCGCGTCGCGGCGACGTCGCGCAGCCGATTGAAGACACAAGAATTAGTAATTATTATCAATAAATATATCTCTCGATGATTATCTACTATCCGAAAATGTATTTATGTTCCCTTAATTACAGTTAATTTATTAAGCAAAGGGCTGGTTTTTCAATGGTTAGATAAAAGTTACTTGGGGTATAAGTAATTTTAATGGTGTCGCGTCAGAATCTTTCAATAAGACAGTGTCAGCAACAATTTTATTCCTCAAACAACATTTATCTGACTATTTAAAAATTAGCCCTTAGATAAGTATTTTTGATACCATATTTCAGACTAAGTTAGTAGGTAGCACCTAAACCTTTTTAATAGACGGAACATATGTATTAGTGGGAAGTTAATACTTGTATGTACTAAATCTGCAAGGTACAAACTGTCCTGGTTTGTCACGTTTCTATCTCAATAACAATGTGTATCTGTAGCTGTGTAGGTACCTGTTTGTTACTTTTTGCAGGCAAGTGTGTAAATTGTAAATCTTACTAATATTAAATCGTACTATCTTACTAAAATTATAAATGTAAAAGTTTGTGAAAATGTATGAATGTTTGTTTGATATACTTTAACGCAAAAACGGCTGGACATTTAGTATGGAGATAAGTGAATCCAGGGTGGATTAACTGCTTTTTGTCAACATACCACGCAGGTGAAGTTGTTGGAGGAAGCTAGTACCTATATACTAAATATCAGTTAATAAAAGAGCAAAAGAGCCGCTACTACGTACATCATTGGTAAATGCATCTTAATTGCATGTTTGTATAGGTATATCATGTTAAAATACATAACACTGTTTTTGCCTACGTATTCTAAATTTAACGCGCAAAATTGTGCGTAAAAGCTTGTTTAACTGGGTACTTTATCTAATAAAGTCTATGAAATAAATGATAAGAAAACATCAGCTTATCATTATCTCGATGCAAACACCATTCACCTCAGATTGACGTACAATCAAAATCTTAGTTAAAACAAAATTTTGTTTACATTAATCACAAAACAGATTATGTATACGCGTCATTTACTAGGCTGTATGTAAGTACCTATGTACCTAATTAAAAATGTGATTTTATCTGTTTACTTAACTAGATAATCTTTTTCGTTTGTTAAAGAATGGATAAAACGACATTATTGCTATGTACCTATCTAGCATCTAATTTTAGAACTAGTCAAATGCGTGTATAGTTGCCTAGGTACCTAATTTTGGCTCAGTCATATTTAATGAAGGTAATATGAATTTATGACTTCTGCTATTGTATTCATGTATTTGTATAGATAATGTCTCTACTTTATTTTCTGTAAGGAGATGTTTACACTTCATCACTACGTTTTTGCGTAGGGAAATCAACTGGTGCGTAATTACGCATGGTCAACGCGTCTCTTTGTTCGTTTCTTTAGGTATATCTTCTAGTGCAATTTAGTGTTTAATTATTTGAAACACCGGTAGAGTTACGAGTGCATTGCCGGGATTTCTGGTATTAGGGTTTGGAGATTTAGGAAGGGGAAGGATTGGCCCCCTGGAACCTCAAGCACACGGCGAAACACAACGACATAGTCGATTCACGCCTGCTTTCTGTGAGACAGCCACAAACATAAGTAGGCCTTTTTTGTGAAGGGAAAATCACCAAATGTCTTCTCCCTCCCGCCCGGCTATGGGCGACTGTCAGACTCTTTCTGACTAAAAACCCCCCCGTTCCTTCTCCTGCTCTGGGTCGATGTCGCTGTGCCTCATTGCGCATACCCCGCAACCCCTGAAACACAAGTAGGCCGATGTAGGTAATGTAGGTGTCAGGGCAGTACTGGTATCACTCCGATCTAGCCGACCCATTCGAACCAAAACTTACCGATATGTACTTATTAATTTTACAGACTTTGGTCCTAGGACATCACAGCATCACCTTCTATTTAGAGTAGGCACTCAAATAGATCAGTTCCGCATCTAAACAAACTTCCGCTCATCACGGGGATTACCACATTCCAGTGATTGATTGCTGCAAATTGGTTCGATGTATAATTTCCAGTTCCCACACACGTACATATCTACCTACATGTTAATGTACTTAATCAAATATTTAATTAGCACTGTTCATATTCAATAATACAGTGATAAGGACCAAATGGATAGGGGAATAACTTTATTCTGTGTATTACGTAGTTAGTGAAGTGAAGCAGCTAACGAACTACTCTTTGTACCGCAGTTAGTTCTTTCCTGAGTTGTTTTAAAGATCGCCTCAGCATGCTGTTTACAGAACATTTTACTCTTAAGGAGATGCTGTTAGGTATATATAGGTAGGCGTTAACGACAATTTCTTTGATGACCTAGTACTTATCTGCCTAATTTGTAAAGGCATCCACCTCTCAAGTAGATGGGTGTGTAATAAAGGATCGTGGTATAGATGGCGTCTCAGTTCCTGGCTACTACCCGCTTTTTGTGCGACTAGAAATAACCAAAAATGATTTCGACCAACTTGGGTAAGGTGACTTAAATTTAGAATTCATTTGTATACATTTTAATTGTTTGTATGGCAGATGTAGTAAGTAACCTATCCATATTAATGTCTCTAACAGAGCATGATTTTTATATTTAGTTTTTTTGTGAGGGGAAAAATAAATCACGGCTTAAGGAGTGTCAACTAGCCAGTGGTGGCTACACCTGTAGGTCTTTATAAGGACAGAGAAAGCGACTTTGTTTTCTACTATGTCTGCCTCTCCATCTAATTAATTTGTAACTTAAGTGTCGCGATCCTAGCGATCTGTACAAATGCAAGTATTGAATGAAATAAAACACTAAATACAATCCAAAAAAGATTTATTTACTTCAATAACAGTCTTAATGTTAACTCTTAAGTTAGACCCTAAGCCCCGAGCCAGGCCGCAGGAAGATTTCGGCTGTCCACAAAGTTCACGGCCAAGTAAAAAAGTGCTATCTGATATATTCAGTGAAGACTTTTCACTTGCTCTGCGACTAGCCCACTGAGACATAAGTCCCGGGGTTCCATCGCAGGAATGCACGGTCTATCGACCGCTGCACTATGAATACTACAATCGGGCTTCTTAAAAACCCAGCATTGTACATCAAGCACCAGAAACCTGCCGATCTTTTAGGAACATTGCCTTTATCACTCCAACACTGCGGCCTCAAAACCCCCATGCGACAATTAACTAAAAATACTATTTACAAATAACAAAATCATTTCGAATATTAATATGATATTTTTTTACTTTGCTAGTGAAAGCAGCAAAAATAAAAACGGTTTTTTTTTCTTATACATTATAAAGTATGCAGTCGTAAACGATTAATCAAGTCTGGAATAGACTGAGAAAGAAAAATTAATATAAAATAAATAGACACAATACAAAATCCGTACGTAGAAATGAGTTGATCTCGTATGATGCCTGAATTTACAAATATAGTATTCTAATTCTTCTTAAACATGAAAATATAGTTTCTAACAATTATAAGGCAAATTTAAATGGACGAGAGCTTTCTAATATGAAAAAAAATTATCGATAAACCCAATTATTTGGTTGATTTTGAAGATTTTAGATGGCCATGCTATGTATGAGCCAAAACTATTCGGAAACGCTACTATAACATTTTCGCACGAACTACTGCTGAATGAAATTTTTTGCTCCTTTATGCTCCCATAGCGGGGCCATCTTAAATCTAAAGCTTTTTAAACATATTATTTTATCATTATTACATTTATACAACTCAAATACAATCATCATTTTGAATCTGCAAACATAATATGATTTAGGAACTTTTTTAAAATAAACAGAACATGGAAAATGAATGAAGGAATCAAAAAACTAAGTTTTAATCTACCGTAGTGCGAATCTTCTAGAAGGAATCTTCTTGACATTGAGGAAAATTTCTCGAGTCACCAAAAAGTGTTTTCTTATGATGAAGTAGAGTGTACTTCTCCAAGTCAGAATTATCCATTGTATAAATGCTGATCTTTAATTGGACGACACATTTCGTGAACATCATGATAATCCCAAGATTTCCGACAGAATCTTCTTCAGTACTGGAGCATACCGCATGTATCTCTCAGTTCAAATTCTTCAAGACTTGTTTACATATTATTTTTATGTAATATATGTTATTTATACGAAGCTTCATTAGCTTACTTATTCTTAAACTCCATTGCTTTAATTTTCACTTACATTGGGCACATTTTTTTTTAAACACTTCACTGTATCTTTCTCATTCAACAATCATTCTTCACTTTTCTTTCAAATAATCCTTGTGCACTTCGCAGCGTTGAAGCCTCTGGTTCACACACCATGAGCACAAAGAATCCATCACTTATGTAGATAATCTAGGCGACAAGAAGTCATATTATTAATTAAAAAAATATGTTTTCTTCTTCTATGCAACTAATATGTACAATTATTGACACAGCCAGTTTCTTCATAGTTCACTTGATGAATGCTTCAGGAGGTATCTTGCCTTCTGTATTTAGTTGATTGAAGACAAATAAAGCTCTTTGGAAGTCCCATCCTGTTTGTTCTAGGCAGCTGTAAGTAAAATAATTATAGAGTTAGTCAAAGTCATTTAGTTCAATTAGACCATATTACAGGCACTTTTGAATGTCAAACAAAATTTAAAGACAAAGTGCGTCGGTCAGACCAGACCACGTAATAAAGTCTGTCGGTCAGACCTCTTAGTGATGCTATTTGCTGTCCCTTGCACTAAATACATATTATTCTTGACAAGATATTTCATGTTCCCATTTTCAAAACATCATATCTTAGTAATAAGTTTGTATCTTTGGAACCGCTGGTCGGATTTCCAAAATTCTTTCACTGACAGATAGCTACAATATTGCTGAGTGGTATAGGCTATATAGCATCACGCTACGACCTGTAGGAGCCGAGCAGCTGATAACAAAGCGCGCGAGCAGTTAGTGTTTAATAAAAAAGTTACATACTTGACACTCCAATGGTCATTCATGCCAGTCTGTTGGCTGAGCATGGTGAGCATCATCTTTTGCTGTTCGTCTGGTGAGGGCTGTACCATGGCGGGCGTCGGAGTCGGGGCAGGGGTGGGTGGAGTCGGCTCCACGGGGACTCCACTTACAAATGCTTTCTCCTCCTAAATTCAAACATAAGTTGTTATATCTTCTGGTATATTCTTGACTATTTCCAGCTGGTCTTTTACTATTAAAATAAATTTTAATCTGCCTAATGGTAAGCAGTTAGCAGTAGTCTAAACTTCGAAGATACTGAGCTTTGCTTGTTTGTGTCAATGATTAATAATCTCAACTCTCTGGCAACTTAAAGATGGACTAAATTTCCAAATGCTAAAATATCTGGGTTTTTGTAAAAAGCTGTAAGAATCCATACAACAAATTATGTCAAAAATCTATCTATCTAAATAAATCCGCTATACTGGTGCAAATTTATCACAAATGCTTTATGATGATCTACATGGAAAACGATGTCGCAACACGACACCCTAATACTCAGGAGCACAACCGTATAGGTTGGAATAGATTATAGGTACCTTATCTTGAAGAAAATTCGTAAAAACAAAATCTCACCTGTTCCTTAGTAGTGTTGGTGATGAAGAGCATGTCATTGATGATGCAGAATCCACCGCCAGGAGTTGGTACGATGACAAACGTCCGATGGAAGGACCGCATTGGGTTTCCATTCGTCGTGGTTTCTTTGAAGACTCCGTTCATCGTCAGAACAATCATGGCAGGCTGAAAGGAAGAATTTTGTAAGTACTTTTTGTTGAATTTAAGTGCAGGACAAAATATATATATAGGAAGAATTACTTATATTGGGGCTAAGATATTTCTAATATAAATGAACTACTTTTATATTTAAAGAAAATGTTGCCACAGCGCTAACAAGTAATAAAAAAATAACCCTTATTAAGTGCTCAGTCATTCAGAGTCATTGATCTAATGATAGAAATGAAACTTCTTGATTTTTTGTAAAGACTAATGAATACAGTTATCAGATTCGTCTTTAACAAACTTCAGTTGTACTTTAAATGCTAAAATAATATTAAACTCCACTTACAGTATAAACAAGCAGGTCGACAGCGAATCCCATCAAATCATGTGTGGTCTTCGGCAGGTCTGATAGGAAGGAGACGACTTGCAACCTGCCAGTGCGCAGGTATCGCCGCCGAGCCTCCCGCTCAGTGATACGCGTTATATTACGGCTGTTTGTTATATACGCGTTTAATCTGGAAACAATATAAAGATAAATTATTAAAAAACTTAAAGAGTTATGTTTGTTTGAACGGTTCCAATCTCCGGAACTACTGGTTCGAATTGAATAATTAATCAAGGAAGTCTATAGGGTATAAAACATCACATTATGATCTATAGAAGCTGAGCAGCGGGTGAAAACGCGTGAGAGTAGCTAGTGTAAAGATATTGAAACCTGTAATGATTTTGAATCATTTTTGTGTAAAAGCTATTGTGGGACATTACTAAATTTATTTGAGTAAGATTTACTCATGTGAACTATATGAGAAGACTGAATTCCTATGGTTTATCGGTTTGAGTAATTAACTAAATGTAAACATTGTAGGTATGTGAAAAAAAATGTTTACAATCAGGTATTTACCTAATTCTGTTGGCTAATAGGTTAAATTTAAATAATATTTGTATGTATTTAAAACGACCTTTAACAAGGTTGTTTACCTTTAGTTAACCAGCTAAACCGGAGGCCCAATCCTTCCCCTTCCCCAATCCCTCCTCAATCCCTAAATCTCCAAATCCCTAATCCCTAAAAGGTCGGCAACGCACTCGTAACTCCTCCGTTGCGAGTGTCCATGGGCGGCGCTGATTGCTTACCATTAGGTAATCCGTCTGCTCGTTTGCCGAGATATTACATAAACCAATAGACCATAGTTTCAAGTGACACACACACCAGTAAACAAATCATAAAACTGTAATACACACCTTTGCGTAGCAGCATTTCTATTGTCATTGGTAAGATAGCTAGCAGCCATAGACATAGTGGCATGTTCATGGTACGCTTCCAGAAGAGGTTGGCGAGAATCCGCGTCATATATAGCGAAATATTGAGTGAGGAACTCGCGAACGAAGTCTTGGCCAGCTGGGTCCACTAAGAAAGACTGTTGACGCGGAGGTAAGGATACATCTTCTAGAACGTCGAATCCGATAGCAGGAGGCAGGTCCACTCCATCCTGTCGTGGTAAGATTTTTGTGTAATATGCAAGGGAATTTAAGTAATGATGTAAAGAACTTAATGACTATTTTCGTGTAACCTATAGTGTTGTGTTATGCCATTATGTAACAATTTGACAAATAGGTAGAGGAGATTAGAGGTGCCACGTTATTGTGAACAACGTCAGAGAGGGTTAAAAGAAATAGAATGAATGTTTAATGATGAATGTTGTGACTGCACGGTTGGCGCGGTGGCTGGGCAACTGGCTGCCGCGCAACGTAGCGCGGGTTCGATTCCCGCACGGAACAACTCTTTGTGTGATCCACAGATTGTTGTTCCGGGTCTGGGTGTGATGTGCATGTGACATTGTATGTTTGTAAATGCACCCACGACACAGGAGAACATCCTAATGTGGGTCAACATTTTCAAAAAAAACAAAAAAAAAAAAAATGATGGAGGCTGGAATATGTAATGTAATTATTTTTCACAACTTTCCCAAGAGTTCCCATTTGCTATCACAATGTTACCAAGCAAAATACTTTTGACCCTTAATATCAGAAAAATACTGTTTAGCTATTCTTACCACTTTACTTGCACATTGTCATATCAAAAAGGACCTTATAGCATCCTACCGTTGTTGGCAAAAGGTTGTTATGACACCTCTATCTCTTGGTTGACCTGCCACATAGAAAAATATATAAAAAAAAATAGCCTGAAATCACCATAACTCACCAGTTTGGTCAGCTTGGGAAACTTCTTCCGCACATCGCTGGAGACAATACAAACAATATGGCAATTTCATGACACATGGCTCTGAAACTCTAAAACTCATTTAACAGTTTAGTTTCAATAAGAACCCTCTTTTATTTCAACATACCAGAACCATCAGTGTTTGTGTAGGAAAGAGATAGGACTATTTTCAAGTATATCTCTCTCTCTTTTGTGCACAAGGATGGTTGTATGTTATAATAGGTACACCCCAAGTATAATAAAGACAAGCTAAATAACAAATACAAGATCAAAACAACATCAATATCTAAGCCATTTGCACTATGATCTATTCTAGAATGGAATAATTCATGTATTGTATCTTATTTAAAATCAATAAAAAAATACCTCAGATTTAGTACCATTCTAGAAAAACAATCAATGTACAAATCTTAGCTGAAGATGTAGTGAAATCTTGAATAAAACAAGACATTTTAAAGCTACATATTGACGTTCTAAGTTTCTTACATCCAGTTTAGTTTAGCTTGTCCCATTTATACTCAAAGTACTTAACATAAATAAATGTTAAATAAAAATATTTTTATATGGCTCTTTTGATTCACTTTACTTGCAGGTAAATATTTAAGTTTTGTTAATATAATGTGTTAAACTCTGATCTACAAGTCTACTATCAATCCTACAACATGACACATAACATAATAATTAACCTGTTTGTATTAGAAAAATAGTTATTATATTATGTATTATGCATAAGGTAATAAACACAGATTCGTTATAGAATTCATAGTAAACTTGTATCAGTATTCATCTGTCATTAATTCATTATATAAATTTAAGACGAAATATTTTTTTGCTTTATATTTCTCAGTATCTAATACATGATTATATGAGTCAACTATCGAAACATAGATTTGATAAATTTCAATACAAAAATAAATCAATAATATTTGGTAAAAATATTTTTTCTAATATTGACATCTGCAAGGTAAAAGGAATCATAGAGACAGACACACAGTCATAACAGTACAAAATCAAAAAGGCCACATCTGCAAAGATGTAGAAATGGACAAGAATGATTTTCCAATTACAAAAACCTTAGATGCAAGATGCCAGACATTTTGAAGACAAAAAAATATATCTGCTTAACCTTTGAATTGTGGTAATATGAGACAGCATAGTAAGACAATAGGTTCGCAAAATACGGTATATAAATATCATCTACATAGAAAACTTACTACAAAATTTTAAGTGGATGTCCTCATGCTCTCTCTGTCATTTTAAAGCAGTAAGCAGAGACAGAAATACTAAGAATTTTAAACTTGAACAATGTTTGAATATTTAAGTTCTTTATTTCTATATAAGTAAGCTAAAGAACTTTATTGGGTTTACAGAAATAGTCTGGAAACTGTAGTATAAAATTGTTTGAAACATCATGTAGGCTCTTGGAAAGAAATGAAAATTGTTTTTTAATTCATATGTATTACGATTGCAGTGATCTGGTTTTTAATATTGTTTCAATCTGGAAAATTTTCGCTAGATTGTATTATTTGTAAAGAATTAAGTTCCCTTATGAAAGGTCTTTTCATGGCTGAGGCCATGAATGTACAAAATAAAAAAACAATTCCCATTTATTTGTCTCACGGGACTCAAGAGAGGTCGCGCAGCCGTTTGAATGACGGCTGCGCAACGTCTCTGTGAGTCCTGTTACATTTTGAAAGTATTCGAGTCTTTCTTAATTCAATAACATGAGTAAGTTGTTCAAATTCAAATTTCTTTATAAATTCAATATGTCTTACAGTTATTTAAAGGAATCGCTGCTTCTTTTTTGCAAACCGAACAACTTTATCCGTAAAGTTAATAACACAAGTAATTATGAATTATAATTCTGATTAATAAAAAAAAATCATGAGTGCATCTTGCATTTAAGTTTTTTTCATTAAGCATAGGTATTTTGAAATGCTATCATTGCCACATAATCTGCAGGTACAAAACCTGCTAACAAGCCCTTGATCTTATCAGAGCAGTATGTTGGTATCTTGGAGAAACGCGTGATTGTTTCTGAAACTAAATAAGAAAATAGAAGCAAATCTGTGTCCAAACAAAGAGGATGATATTAGAACGTCTTTTGGTGATTTGAGTAACTTTATCAGATTTGCTGCTATTTAAATAATTAAACAATCAAATAGACCACCCATTTAGGACAACCAATACATTATTATTAAGCAATTTTGTATTGATCATCAGCAAGCTTCATTTAAGTAATCATTCAATTTATCAAATAATCACTTCTCTAACTTGTAACCTTCATGTAACACCCATTCTTCCCTGGTGTTCCATGTCGAGGATTCCCAAGCATATACTAATCCATCACAATCAGGAATATTCCATCTGCAAAAGTACTACATTACACTACCTGACGTAGATCTCATGGTCGCTAAACCTGTTCAGCAGAGGATTGCCTTTCAGGTACAACTCGACCAGTGGCAAGGCCTTCAATGGTTCCAGAGACCCGAGGAATGGAATCTAGAAGAAAAATGTGGTACTTAAGAATAAAGCTTGCATAAAGTTTTGGTTAGTATATTAAGCACCCTTAGTTAAAAGCAATGTCAATGTCCCACTTCCTAATCACAAGCTTTAACACTTAAACAATATTGATGATTCTGAACTATAACACTTTTGGGATCCTGTGCATAAACTCACACAATGCAACTTCAATAAATGAAAGTGTGTGAGTGAAAATCTTTTATGGTACTATCTCCTTACCCTGTTGTCACCCATATACAGAATCTTCAAATTCTTCAATTTGTTAGGTAGGACCTTAAGGTGCTCAATGCCATGGAGTTTGTTATCATTGAGGTTCAAAGCTTCAAGATCTGGAATGTTCTCAGCAATGATATTGATAGCTTCCAGCATTACTACCGGACGGAATAAGGCACAGAATATATCTGCCAAATCTGAAAACAGTTTCAAATTTAATGAGTAATTATTTAATGAATACCAAAAGCAACACTATCATAATAGAATGAAAGTAAGACAGACATGATTGTTCCATTTTCAAAACTTATAGTGTAATGAAATAATATAAAAGTAAATACTCCGAATTTGAATATTAGATTTTATAGGATGTATACAATACAATAGATGAAAATCTAATAAGCATTACAATGATAATATTACGTACGCTTAGGCATGAGCAAATTAATAAATAGTTAAATTAAGTGACTACTATACCTGGGTCTGCATGAAACTTTGTTAAGTCTAATGCCTTAGTAACAGCATTGTATCTCTTGGCCATTGCCAATTTCATTTTCTCCTTCAGTTCAGCATCAACAGTGACACTTGGAACAGCATTTCTTACAATCACCATCAACTTAAAGCCATCAGACATAACAATCTTCCTGTCAGCTTGGAAAAGCTTTTCAGCGAGTTTCACATCATCCACATAGAACACAGCAGCATTGCCATTGATCTTGTAATAGTGGGGCACAAAGATATCTGGCGAAATGAAGCTAAGCAGCGTTTTTAGAATCACTTCTTTTTCATGTTTGGCTCCGTAAGGTATGATAATTTGGTACCAGGGAAGAGGACCAGGGACAAACCTCTTCTTATTGACTCCATGGCCTGATCTAGGCGCCGGAGAGTTCAATCGGCCTCCGCGCCCTCTGAATGAACCTTTACGATGAGGATGGGTACCTCCAGCCGACCCAGTCATGTCGATATCATCATCCAACAATAGTTTGGCATTGTTCCATTTATTTTTTCCTTTATTCGTGCCTGGTTTAAAACTAACACGCCTTGTTCCAGAACTGTGCATACGATCATCATGTTCTGTAGGCAAACAAAAAAAATCCTATTGCAATATTGCATCACGAAATGGAATAATCCCATGTTGTGTTACATTCAAATAATTTGCAAATAAACAAAGACACTTACCAAAATGCTCACTGTTTTTAAAATTTCTTCTCCCGCCGTTTTTAGGCATTGTTTTATTATAATTACGGTGAATATTGAATAAATAAACACCACAGTCGCAAAATGAAGTAAGGTTAAACGTTATGACGCACAACGCGTTCTAGAATTCTTCAGCAAACCTTGGATCACTTCAGGCAATAAAAATGTAATTAAGTGTTCGCGATGAAATTTTCCCAACAATTTTTTAGAATTCACTGTCTAATGTGTAACTTTTTTCGAGTTGAATATTTAAATACACGAGAAAATAGAAACGTAGCACATTCGAACGAATGTCCGACCGTAATAGACCGAGTAGATGAACAACATGTATTTTGCAATATAAACTTTCCATTCATTCCGTTTTTACAATGCCTCAATCACACAGATAACAAAACGAAATGAAAAAAAATGTGTTTTTCGAACAGGATTACAATATTTTGTTTGTTTCGAATATTTTCAGCAAAGGCAACTATTTAACTTCCACTTTCAGGAAGTTACCACTATTATTAACATCTCGTATACATATAATTTAGTATTTATAAATAATCTCCCAAGGAACATTTTTGTGTTCAGGATTACCTTATACACACAGAACACTACTTGTAGCTAGGTAGGCTTATATACAAGTGCTTAAAAATCTTTGAAACTTTAAAATTAAAATTAGTAAAATCTGCCTACATTGATTGTACGCTAATACAAAAATTATTTTTGGCCACACAGACGTATAAAGAGTATTAGACCGAAACATTAATCTTTTCATAAATCATTCTCTACTCGTTTTCTATCAAGCGTCTCAATCTCTTACCTATCGCCACACTGCCTGAATTATTGGCAAATTTCAAGATGATGCCTGTTGCCAATGTTGATTGTTATTTTCTAGTACCACCGGAGACTTAACAACGATTAAATAACTAACTGTTACAATTACGTTTGAACGTTGTTTTCGTGGCCTCTTGACTGTCATGATGTTTTATATTACATATTGAAAAGGATTACTCACAATAAGTTGTTGTATCAGGAGGATGCGACGAATGCTTCGGCGATACCCGCCCCTCCGACACATGGGTAAATGGAGGAATACTGGGTTGGTTTTCAATCAGTAAGAGTCTGACAGTACCCTTCGCCCTTCCCCGAGGGCGGTGGGTCTTCTTGAGGATTTTCCAAGCCGACACCAAAAAAAAGGGATATATTTTATGCCCAGTTATATACATCGCATGTGCGTATAATTTTTACCTGCACGTACAGATAAATCTAATATAAGCAACCACAACTTAATGTCAGTGCCATTATTGTGGGCACGTTATTGTCGCCCAACACCTGTTTGTTATATAAGAATTTAAAATGTCTTCAAATGAAAAGTTGTGTTAATTTGGATATGAACGGATGCCAAAAAAGCTTTGGAATTTATACTAAGCATTTTTCTAAGTTTGAGCTTTTTTAAGTGTCGTTTAAAAATATATTCTTATTTTAGAATGATAATAACTCTATGTATTCATCAAATTCAGTATACATTGCTATACCTACTTCAACACACATCACATTAATATACATCTTATAGTTTCAGAAAAATTACATGTTGAGTCTTCTACTTTTTAGACGTCTGTGTGTAGTCCCGCTAAATTATTGCCTATCTGGATAGACAATTGCGCTTCACTCACCTGCAATACGGCATAAGATTTTTACGCCTTCAAATCTCTTGTATAATTATTTCTTCTTCCTCACATAAAAATAAATAATTAAACGAACTGAACAATATTTTTTAAACAATTTTCGAAAAATAACATACATACAAACAAATAAATTTTACTTATAAATATTAATTACTGTCATTTATAATAAATGTTATACGTTCTTACCAAAGGTATTTCTTGGTCTTTTTTAATAACAAAAAAGAATGAATGATACCCCGGCAACTAAATCAGCGTAGTATTATCTGTGGTAACAGTTGTTAGGCTAGTCTATGGTTCTCGGATACGGATTCCATTTTACGCAATATTTCCGCTTAAAATGAATCAAATCTAATAGCTATAAAAATGTTTTTATTGTGTATTTTAACATTAGAAAGTCCTTAAAATGTAGATTGCAATTTTCTATAGTCTGTTACTCTAAGATTCTGTATTTATTTCCAAAAATGAAATTAACGAATTGGCATCAGGGATAAATCCTAAATTTCCTGTGTGAAAACATAGCGTAAAAAATAAAACGACCATAGACAAAATTCGTGTGCTTTTCGAGTCTGCCATGTTTTGTCCTATTTGTCGCGCTTGATCAACGCGTTCGCGTTTACTGTACAAAACTGTTATTTTCTGAATGTATTACGGGCTGTGTTTTGTTTACAAATAGTGTAGTTATTGGTGTTGTAATTATACTGCTTAAACATTTGACCAGACAAGCACTTGGATACTTGTGTGTGCGACAGTGAAGTTCGTATTTCATAAAATTTTATATTCGTTAGCTGGCCATCAACTGTCTGCATTCTTAGGCATTTCATCGTAATTTTGAAACATTCTGATCATTAAATGCGATTTCATAATATTTTGTCGATCTTGACTGTGACGCAACCCACGTGCACTTAATATAGCGAGCATCTCTCATGCACATTTGTTATTATTTTGTTCGTGAGTTCGATTCGGAACAGTGAGGATCGGATCGGCGAAGGGAAACCGCGTCGCGCGTCTTGCTCGCTCGCGTCGCGTTTAGTTGAATTTTTTAATTTGTTGGTGGGTAATATAGAACGGTGATTTCTAATCGAGTGTGAATTATTTTGTGCGGGATAGTGTTGTTAGTCGGTGTGATTAGGTGCAGCGCACATAGCGCACGTGACACAGGACGAGTGTTTGGGTGTCAGTCGGCTGCGGCTCGCGGGCGCCGCTACAGTCCGCCTGCAGTGCGGAGCGCGCGACGGGCGTTAGAGGTGAATCACCGCTCGGTGCCGTTTTGATCGTGCTTGTTTACCCGCGTGTGCATAAGTGCGTGGAGCGGAAGTGCAAGGCATGTGCGCCGCGCGTCGGCGCCGATGACATCGCCGTCCGGGGCGACGGCGTTTTGAGCGCGAGTGTGTGATAGCTATGTTTCTTGGGTTATGAGTGTGTGACAAAGTTGTAGTGCGCTGAGGACACTGGAGCCCCTAGACGGAGTTGGGCCCGCCGGGGCGGCCCTGGTGCTTCTCGGGGCTCCTCACGAAGGCAAGATGGCTGCGTGGAACCGCCACCACCATTTCAACATGCTCATGGATGAGAATGCCAAAAACAAGTGTAAGTATTGTCATGTTATGTGAATTTAGTCAGTATGTCAACCACATGCTGTAAGACTAGCACTTGAGAGTTCAAGCTCGGCATAGTTTTCTTGTTAGGTTACCTAGGTAATTACCCTTCAACACTGTAGCATAAATTAGTGTGCCTTTAGACATGTCCATATCAAAACAAGTTGTTTGACATCATCCTTACATAAGCCATGCGGCAATGTTTTTATAAACATGTAAATAGTTTATATACACATTAAAATTCTACTGGTTCATTGTAGAATGTAAAAGCTTACTTATCTGTTAGTATCTGTCCATGAAGTACAATAAATAATAACTAAAAATTAAAGCCTCTCCTTAAAAATTAGTAATTGCACAAAAACACTTCCTCAATCTCCAAGCTACTTATTTATACATTTTGATCGACAAACTCATTTTTCTAAAGTTATCCTTTAGGCACACACATTACACCAATACATATTTAAATAACTTTTTTAGCAAAGTAGCCCCACTTTTGAAAGCTGTTTATGTAACTACCTACTTCCTAGTTTATTGTTAGAACCACATATCACATATTTTTACTTGTAATTAAATTAGTTAGTGTTTGTTACTTAATGTTAAAACACTTAATGTATCTTATGCTGCCATAGTTGGAACTTGTTTATTAACAATCCCTTTTAATCTGCCCTATCCTGCAACAATCCAAGTGAATTAAATTACATGGGCTCTTGTTCCATTGGACATAACACAATTTTCCATGTTATGACCACCTTTAATGGTACAACAGGCTAAACAAATGCATGTGGATAAACCCCCATGGGTGTACATTGTTGAATGCACACAGCCCTCTGTGACCCACCTGTAGGGTATAATATGTTCATCCTGCCCTACATCCCTTTGACCCCAATTTTCCACCAGCATGCTATTGATTTGCACTACTTATACATCTGAAACTTATCAGAGAACCCATAGACCATTTGCGCGGGCCCAATAAAAATAGTTATGTAAGATACTCTCGGAATTCCATATATTCGAAAGTGGCGAAACCGAATCGAGAATTTCGTTTTCCGACATGAAAATATCACGCCGTAATTAAAGTCTAAAATTCCATGTCCTACATTTTGTTACCAACAATCAACAAAAACAAATATCCTGCTGTGCTGCAAATAAAAATAACCTTATACCTTCCTAATTAATTATTTTTGCTTTGTAAATAGATTTTTTGACATAATATTTACTTTATTTTTAGTCACATTATGATTGGTCCATATAGCGTCGACCCTAAAATTGTTTAACGCAGCGTCGACCTTCCCAACCTTTAACCTAATTTTGTGTTCAGCCCTCCCAGATGGGTGCTTGATGCTTGCATTGAAGCTTTATTCGATTCCAGAACTCGGACTTTTTTTCGTAAATTACAGGATGGCATACGCGGCATTTCAATTATTTCAACATATCAACTCAATGAATCTTTTCGTTGGTCCGTTGTTTGTTTACAAACGGGGTAAACGTCAATAATAATATTTGGCCGCCTCAAAATGATTAATTCTGTAATTTAAGAATATTGTGTGCAATATAAAACAGCCGTTTTGTCGGTATGATGACCCGCTTCCAGTGTAACACCTATATTTTATTCGACTTTCCGGTGGTGATGCCCCGCAACTCTCACCTCCCACGCTTTTGGCACTCCACCGGAGATCGTTGCATGCATTTGCCAGTTCTAAATAACACAAAGAGTGTTCTTAATACCCAGTTTCTACGAAAATTGGGACATGCTATCCCCGATTTTAATTTAATTTTATAGCTCGATAATTATCACATTACATTTATTACATACACGTACATAATGTAGGTATCATTTATGTTTCATAATCAAGGTATAAATTACTTCTATGTTTTCATGGGTATTTATTATTATAGGAGTAGATCCTCTTTCTTTTCTTTTTGAAATCAACAATAAAACGAAATTAGGTGACCCACCAAACAATCAAGATTTCCATGGCATTCGTTTGGCTTAATGTAAAACCTTAGTTGTACGCACAAGGATGAAGACTTTAAATAAATTTGCTAACAACCTATTTGAAATTCATGAACGCGAAAAAAAAACATCCTAATTTATCTCAGAATGTTGAGGAAACAAAATTTAAAGAGCGAATTTGTTTCACGCTATAAGCAAGTTAAAATAAAGTCGCTTCGTCCTGTGTTGTTGATAAATAACTATTTAAAAGATACGGGATACTGCAACTAAATGCGATAGTTCGGGACACAGCTTAAAGATCCGAGTGCCAAATATTTACGGCGGTCGTTTGTGCCGGAACCTTCGGCGGTCTCGCATTTTTTCCGCGGCGATCAACTTTCATTCACTGTCTGAAAGCTGTTGCTACGCGGATGCTGGCCTCACGGTGCGCTGTCATTAAAACCAAACGCTCGTGCACCGCCGTCATGTAGATGATATCGTGTTGTTTGGAAAGTGGTCGCTTACAAGACTTACATTATTTAGTTTTGTACTTTGTGTCCATACCGCCTCGCGGTGTACGAGATTATGAGAATATGTTACAGACATACTGTGCGTCGGATATCAAACGATAGTCGTTTGTTTTTTCCATTATACTTGTATTTGATAACTAATGTTTGAGTCAAAGCTATAAAGAAAACTTCGAAATTTCCCATAACTATTAAACGTTGTCTTTAACTGTTGAATCGAACGGTATTTCCAGAGTGTACGAAAAACTATAAAAAATTAATGTGTTCACATGATAACGAAGCCGATTACTAACCAGTTACTTGCACGTCGGTGGGAGCGGAGTCGGCCCGCCTCGCGAGTCACGCCGGCCGGTGAATGGTCACCTTTCTCCGACACACAGTCTAGACGACTTCGTTACGACCCGTGAATGAATTTCACATCGGAATGCGGAACGACGATTTATCGTTCCCCACCAAAATTGTCTGTACGCATTGTGCTGGTGAAATTGTCTCGAATAATTAGAAATTTCTTAGGTCAGAAGTCGTAATAAAGTAACATTAAGTCCAAAGAGAACGCCGCATTTAATGAAATTTTGACCAACACGATATTAATTTGTAAGTACAATTGTTTAAAAAGAAATATGTCAACCATCTTAAAGTTTTCTCTACAGATACAAGAACACAATCGACATAACTATTACGATATATTTCAGTCAATACACTAGATTCAAATACCACAGTACAATAACAAGAAGTGGTTCAGGGTAGTTATTCATACAAGGCAGTTGAGGACAATACTCTGGTAGCGTGGGCAAATGTGTGTGGGCAGGTACCCTATGTAAATGGCAAAGATTTCTTGGTGTGCCAGCCCCATTATTGCTATGATCACAATTTCATTGCACAACGAGTGTCATCTAGTTAATTGGACTAAGTTACATAAAATATGATATGTTCATGAAATTTTTCAAAAAGAATAGCTCTTTTCGAAAGCAACTTGTATAATGTATATCAAAAAAGAAAATCGCTGAAGATATGTAGTGCACACGATTTTGCCGGTCAATGGTTTATTATAAGGAAAAACTATGGTACAAAGTTGACGAAGTATGACGAAGTCAGCCCTAAAGTGCCCCTCGGTGTCATCGACCGACAGCTTAGGTTTTTGCGCGTCCAACGGTGCTGTTATTTTAATAATTGAATGAGTATGGAAAGCATCAAGACTTAACGGTAACTGTATGAACGTGTGACGTCTGATCATAGCACGATTTGTACTCGTTGTAATTTCTATCTGATTGTACGTAATAGTAAAATCCAAAGTATTTGTAATCTAATTTCCTTTGTTACTCACAGCTATGAATATCCAACTAGCATTTCATCAGAGCACGCCCATTTAATGTTTTTATCAGTTTATCGAACATTGCCGACTGTGACACGTAGTTATTTATTTTGCGACCTTCACACTCGTGTGTTCATTGCCCTTAGCACGACTTCCTGTTTCGAGACCTTTCAAGACAAAAATAAATTGATCGTCATTTAACAAATATCAGAATCCGAAAATAATAACTTCCTAAGCGTAGTTTAAAGTAAGGATAACTTATAATAAAAATTAAACATTTCGTGTATTTAGAGACTAGGTATCAGTTTGATGTTTTGGGAGAAATCTTGTTCCGTGTATTTGATGAATCTTATTTGTATATTATGAACAATGAGTAATACCAGAGTCAGTTTTGGTGGTGTTGCGCATCCCCATCGGGCCCCAGCGTCGTTGACCGCCGACGGTTTTTGCACATCGCCGCCGCAACGGTGGCCGGCTTGCACAATCTAGAACGACACACTTATCTCGCTCGGATGCTGGACAATGGTCAGCGCCGGTGTCTTAAGATCTCAACTAAACAGTTCGCCGAATATTTTAACGTATCATAAACCTACTTCGCTCTATAAACTTAGATGGTCAATACGGTCAATACGGTTCTTGGTACATAAAATGCATAGTGTACATTTTGAGCAGTGGCACACTGACTATTGTCATAATTTTATATGCAAAACATCGGTTAATTAAGGTTAAAATTGTATTTGGTTTCTAACTAAAGATGTGTTTTTCCTTAATTCTAGTTCTTTGAGGAAAAGATAAAGAATGCTACTACGCCATCATAAAGTAATTCCTGGTTTATGGGTATACCGTCTATAGATACGATTAATTTATATTAAGCTTTTCAGCTTAGTATTATGTCTACGGGTGAAACAACAAAGCGGAAATTCAACCACGGTTGAACTCAAACGAAAGTTAATTAACAATAATATCATAAGAGTTATTGTTTTCCTACAATTATTATCTTGTTTGGCTGATAAATTGAAAAATCAAGTGATGTCGGTATCCAACTCGTAAAGTTGGAGTTAATTGGGTGACCATTAAGAGGACATTGCTTTATCAAAAAATAGTTAAACCCAACTAGAAAATGTTGTTATGTTAAAGACAAGTGAAGAACAGCTGTTGATCTAAATTACATAAAATCCATATCCTGTTCGAAACAAAAATTTAAACCCAAAAACATTGTG